AGTATTAATCAATCGAAAGCTCTCTAAAAAAAATTAACATATAATTCTGTATACTGAGTCTGTTTGAGAGTCACGATTGGTCATTCTAAATATCTATTTTAAGGAGGTTATCCGAATTCGTTTATAAGATAAGACTCAACATTGGCTGGACACATGTACTTAAAATATGCGTGCATATAATATTTGGAAGATGTCTAGTCTACTTCCTGTATGAAAACGAGGAAAAATTTTAAACATATAACGCACACACACGTACGATCAAAGTAATCTTTGAATAAAACTTCGAAGTCGAATTTCTTTTATCAATAATATTACAATTGATTTAGCAGATTTAGCCGATTTGAAGAGAAAGCGTGGATTTCTGAGACACTCCGTAATAGGACGTCACTCGAATAAGATGACTTGTCATTTTATCATAGTTGCCGATACAGCGACGATCGTGCACGCGTAAAATTCATGCGCATATAATGCGTGTGTAGTGTACAGTAGTCACGTCATCACATCGCGATTCTCTCGGCTCTCAGTCGCGCGCCGATTGTCACCGTGAGAGTTTGTCGCGCACAGGTCGCTCGTTCAGGTAGACTCCGCTCGCGTGTGATCAATCGCCTTTTCACTTCCGCAAGTCCTCCCGATTGCACGTTTCTCGCTTAGAATATGGAACTGCCGGTAAGCGGATATGAAACGAGGAAACGTAACTAACATATAAGTACAATTGTACTTGTAATTAACAATTAACGTTGACGCGAGAGCAAATCATGGATAAGTTTCTACATGCTTTACATTTCACAAAATTGTGAACTTTAAGCAGATTACGGTTAAGTAATTTACAAGATATTTTCTCACGTGTCGAATAATGCAAGACATGGAAGAAATTTTTAAATATATCAAAATATATTCCATTCGCGTGAAATGCAGCGAGGTTGCATGCTAAATTGTCATTTAAATTCTTTTTCTGTTCTGATATTACGTAATTTTTCTCAAATACTTGTAATGCAAGTATTCTCTATTTAATAATAAAAATCTATTATTTTGAAATCAAATTTATTTCAATTTTGAAATAAAGAAAATACATTATGTATTCTATTTAATTGGTGCAGTATCAGATATATGATTCGTTCGGAAAAATTCGTAGAAATTAAAGACAAATAAAAAATAAAAATTAAGATAATAATGTCGAGATAATAATGTCAATATATTTTAAATGACTTAAGTTATTAACCTTTTAACTACGGATATGCATTTCTATTCGTCGTCCATTGACGACAGCCGTAGTTAAATAAAATCGTAATTATTAAATAAAAATTATCGATTTCGAAATTGATTTCAAAACGTAATAAACATAAGCATTAAAAAAATGCAATTGTTTGCAACATTTGTTAGGCTTATAAATAGAGAATAAATATAAATAAATAAAAAACAATTTACATGATAAGATATAAAATAATGAAGTTTAATAAATATAGATTAAACCTATAATATACACAATCTGTAATCGAATATAATAATAATAACAATTATTTATAATAATATAAATAATAAGAAATAATATTGCACTAAAGAAAGTGCCTTTCGATATTTTTTCTGTTTTTCTTGTTCTATTCATGTAATCAGTAGAAATGAAACAGAATCAATTCAAGCATAAAAATTAATCAATTCTTTTAAATTTTAGATAAAGTCGAATGTTGAATCGATATTCATCTCCATACTTGCTTGTTTTATATCGACAATTGTTATTTCTTTTAATTTTTCTTTCCACATTTACTTTTATATTATTGGAATTCAAACTAAACAGTTGTTGAAACATAGACAATATGATCTGAGTTAATAATATATATTCCCAAGCTAAGTGAATAATTGAAAAGTGTCAATAACTACTAATACTATTAATAAAAATAACATTGACCATGATGGACATCTCATAAAAATTAATAAGATATTGACGTTTCGCTATGTTTAACAATCAAAATTGTTAATTATGGACATTAAATATACAGTTTATAGATTTGTGAGCGTTTTAACGCGAAATAATTATTTACGTTTATATTTGCAAAATAAGCAATATGTTTTTTTTTTGTTTTTTACTCTCTTATCGTAATAAATAACATTGATATTATCGCGAAGAATCTCTTAAAAATGTTTCATTCTTGATACACTTTTAAGCCTTTTATAATTAGATTATACTCCACATAAATTTTAAAAGAAATAGCTATTGCATTTTAAACATTTATTTATTTTTTTATGTAAAAATACATAATTTTTATATAAAATAAATTTACTTGCCTATGAATAATAATATTAAAAAATGGTATAATAATCTTCGTAAGAACTTAAAAAAAACTTGTAAAATATTTGACATATTTTACAGAGCATTTTTCTTTTTATTGCCATGCTAAATTTCTATTATTACACATTCTATTATAACACGCTACACTATTCATGATTAGAAATTAGCTATCTATTTTCTGAAAATTGCGTATCGGATATTAAATACTTTTTTGAAGTAGAGAGAAAAAGAGAAAGAGAACAAATTGTATCTATTTTGTTTATTCTGCACATTCTAATATTTATTACACAAGATAATTTCGAAACGTACGTTTTAGTGATATGGACATGTCAGTGAAAATGTCAGTAAAAACTCAGTGAATTTTTATCATTTGTTAAATTTTTATAATTTGTTCTTGGCATCTAAAAAACATATTCATGAAACCTGTATTATTATCAACATATTGGAAGAATATAAACGTTTGATGATGTAAGTTGTATTAATTTTTTTGAATTTTTGATACATAGCAATGCAACTGATAAAGAGAGCGAGTTACAAGATATATGTAACAATGTGAATTAAGTAATGAAAGAGAAACAAAGAGAGAAATAGAGATACAGAATAATATTAAAGTTGACGTCACTTGCTTTACGCATGCGTCTAAAATGATGAAGCAAAATATTAATTTAGATTAATTTCATATAGATATAAAGATCAACTTTTTATTTCTCAAATACTCCAACGACAAAATATCTTGAAATAATTTTTTACAATAAAATAAATTTCAAAATTCGAAAATATTTATTTGTTTTTCCTTTTCATCTATTGCATAAGCTTTTAATAATCCTTAATGATACAACAATTATGTAAATTTTATCTTGTCGTGCATTTGATGCTGTAATAAACATGTTATCAACCAGTCGACATGAACATGACTAAATAATTTTAGTCATGTTCATGTCGCAAAATTTAGTCGCAAAATAACAAAATAAAAAATCATAAAAGAAAAATATACCAAATAATGCTGAATAATGTCGAATAAATGCTAATGTATATCTGCTTTATCATCATTGGTTCACAATCATCTGAGTCATAAACATCGACGATGACACTTACTGCATATAAATGTTACATAATCCAACATGACGTTTATAATTGTGAATTAACGAATTAAAAATTGTCAAGAATCAACTTGCATGCGCCGCCTATGTGTTCGTATCATTTTGCAAATGCATTCTGAGATACAATGATGACCTGATAATTAGCGCTCTTCCTTTTTACTTGATGAAAAGAGAGAGTGCTATACTATTAATATTTAATGAAATGCAAATAATCACGGTGCTGCAAAATATATATTTAATCGGAGTATCAAACTGTTGAAAAGTGCAGAAATTTTTCGTATTATAATACTGATAGCCTATACTGATTTATTTTTTTAATTGTCAAAAGTCAAACACGTGTTCAAATACATGTTCTTATGTAATTATATTTTTTTCGAATCATTGCCGACTGTTTGAATTGATCTATCTTTTATAATTGAGGAGTTTATTTTTTTAAATCATATTAAATGTTTTTTTAATGAATATATAAATACTTATTATGAATTTTTTGTAGTTATATAATGTAATCTCGATCTTTAAAAAAATATATATATACTCGTGGACAAAATTAACGCATAATTTTTTTCACTTTTTCTTTAAAAGCTAATCTTTAAATTTTAATGAAAAATTTTAAAGAAAAAATAAAAAAAATTATGCGTTAATTTTGTCTAGGAATATATTTAAGATCCTTTATGTAAATAGATCTTCTTCAGTCTTAAGCGAAAACGATGTATTAAAATTTCGAAAAAAATATTATTTGCATGAATTTCATTAGAAGAGATTCTTTTTATTAGCATTTTTTAAAAAGACAAGACAAGAGTAAAGCGGAAAATTTCGAATCACACAGTGAAATGCAAAATATTAATGCGTATTAGAGTAGTCAGTGTGTATTATTAATATTGTTGTAACTTGTAGTATTGTCTAAAATATAAATGATATAAAATAATATAAAAATATATATAAATTGTATTTCGTAGAAAGTGCTATCACTAATATTCAACCTTGAGAAAAAGAGATTTAATAAAAGCTTAATCATGTTACAAGTGTTAATTTTATACATTCATGGTTTATATTATAATGAGGTCAAGAACATTATTTAAAGTGGTCCTTTTAATACATTCCGAAAATTTAATTGGTGGAAATAGAAACGTTTGGACTTTGACTTAAGTTTGAAGGCTCAAAGTGACGTATTTGTTTTTGCAATTCCTATGAATGAAAAAAACTATGTCGTTACGATTAATGCGCGTAAAGAAAAAGCGGATAATGAATAGTATATTATAAGATTAAATATGCATAAGATTAAATATACATTAAATGTATATATGTATGCACACACATTTCATCTTATATGTATATATATATATACATTCAATCTTATAATATACTGTTAATATACTTGTACTGCATTATTTATTTTTTTTTTAGCATTAAGTCTAACAACAACCTAATTTTTTAGATTCAAGATTTTTATAGCTCAACTTTGTCTTGTGGTATAATTAAAAAATTTTGAGCCTTAGTAGAATATTTCTATTGGATGATATTTTCTATTGGATGACTATATTTTTCTTACATGACTTGTTTAAAAAAGCAATTTCTGTTAAAATCAATTGCATAATTGAATTGCAAATTTTTCACAGACTGTAGACGCATCACAGCCGAAGGCTGTAAGAATGGCAGGTTCGCCAGTATTGGAAGAAACCGGACCGGAAACCAGCAACGACCAGCAACCCTTTTTCGGTCTTGTGGACATCTTATTGCTCACCGGTCTCTGTGTGGCGGCGATATGGTACATACTGAGGAGAAATAAGCAAGAGTCTACGCCAACGACAAAATCTTATTCCATTCAGTAAATAATTTTTTTTAAATTCTTTACCACATCTTAGAATGCATGGATCTCTAACGAAAGTTAACAAAAACTCAAAGAGAAAAAAAGAGGAAAAAGATTTCAAAAAATTTAAATTGCGAAGAAATTTCAATTAAAATTTAGGATATTTCTCCTAAAGTTATCGAAAAAAAGAAAAAGGTTTCGAAATTGAAGCTGTAGAAGGAAAAAATAGAACAGATTTCGAAACATGAAACATGATTGCAAAGTCTCAAATATCACGCATATTTACATACACATACATGCATACAAAATTAAACGATAAATTACAAAATACCTTCAACAATTTTCTCATAATTGCAGACCAACGTCATTTGTTGCTGTACCGCCATCAGAAAATTCATTCATCAAGAAATTAAAAACTTCCGGACGAAGCTTAATAGTGTTTTACGGTAGCCAGACGGGCACCGCTGAAGAATTCGCGGGTCGTCTTGCTAAAGAAGGCATCAGATATAAAATGAAGGGAATGGTGGCCGATCCTGAGGAGTGCGATATGGTACGCAAATCGTGGCAGTTCATTTAAATTTAAATTTATTATGAATAATTATATTTTTATACCTCAAATAATCGCGCCAATTCATTTGAATTCACCAAGACATTGATTGAGATGATTATTATAGAGATGTAAATTAAAGAAACCTTGTTCATATTTTGAATAACAATTATTATATTCTTCAGTTAATTTATCTCGTTAATTATTCATATGTCCAATAATAACATACATGTTGATTATTATGTTTAACTAAATAATTTCGCATTTTATGAATGATTATAATAATTTGTAATAAAAAAATTAATGATTATACATATAAGAAATGTTATAATGAATGTATTTTATCACAACAGGAAGAGCTGGTACATCTGAAAACTATTCCAAATAGTTTAGCAGTGTTTTGTTTGGCTACATACGGAGAAGGTGATCCAACTGACAACGCTATGGAATTTGTCGATTGGCTCAAAAGTGGTGACGGTGATCTTACAGGATTAAATTACGCGGTATGTATACTCGGTGTTATTTCTGACCTCAGATGTATCACGTTTGCTTTGAACTTATTTTATCTCGATTATTTTTTTTCAAATCTTTCAACTATTCTAATTCGCGAGTAATTCAGTCCAAGTTTTCATGATAAAAATCTTGCGTGAAGAAATCTTAATAATTTCAATAATAATATTAAAACGATGTATGTATTAAAAAAAGAATAAGATAAGATAAAATATTTTGTACGCAATGAGGCACGTAACAAATTTACTTTCTTTCTTTTTTTTCATTCTTTTTATTCCTTTTCTTTTTTTTTCATTCTTGTCAATTTTTTAATGTTGATCTCTTGATCGGGAGATTTTTTGCTAATTATGTCACTGAGCATTACGTCACTAAGGAAACGCATGGCGCATGGCACAGATGCAAATGGCCATGAGTTTGATTATAACGGTGCACGTGCGAGTGTTCACGTGAGAGAGTCGTGTGCGAGTTTCTCGAGCAGGAAATAAAGTGCCTAGTAATATAGAGAGTCCAAGGATGCTTTAAGTGTTAAATTGTTTGTAATCTCAAGCGTCAATCCAGGCATCTCATATATATATGTATATATGTCATGAATCTGAAAATGTACAATAGATTGTTCCGATTCGTCCTACAACGCTGTCACATTTGTGGCGCCATGACGCGACGTAACGCAATGTCATTGCCGCTCGAGGTATCGACTGTTTGTGCAACTCGATATAAAATTCAAATCATCGAATTGTCTCCTACTAAATTCTTGAAATTTGAATATCCGTGAGCAAAGTTTCACCAATAATTTCTTGTTTTTTTTAGGTATTTGGACTTGGTAATAAAACTTACGAGCATTATAACGAGGTTGCCATATACGTGGATCACAAATTAGAACAATTGGGTGCTACGCGCGTCGTTGAATTGGGTCTTGGAGATGATGATGCTAAGTAAGTTTTAAATATGATATTTTTCACTTTTTATTTTTATCGCAACTTAATTTTAATAATATCTTTTTCTTTATTACAGCATAGAAGATGATTTTATTACGTGGAAAGACAAGTTTTGGCCGGCTGTCTGCGAATTCTTTGGTATCGAAGATGCCGGCGAGGATGTTAGTATTCGACAATACAAGCTCACGGAGCACGTAGATCTACCTGCCGATCGTATTTACACCGGAGAGATTGCTCGTCTTCATTCCTTCCAAAATCAGAGAGTGTAAGGATCTTTATTTATCCATACTTACATCAAGTATTTCTATGTTTTGTATCTAACTTAATTTTTTTTATTCATTTTTTGTAGACCGTACGATGCGAAGAATCCGTTCCTAGCACCAGTGAAGATAAATCGCGAGCTACATGGTCCGACATCCGAAAGATCATGCATGCATATTGAATTCGATATCGAAGATTCTAAGATGCGTTATGAGGCGGGCGATCATTTAGCAGTCTATCCAGTGAACAATGCGGAACTAGTGAATAAAATTGGCGAACAATGCTGTGCGAGCTTGGATACCGTATTTACTCTTACAAATACAGATGGTGAGTTATTTACTTTATTCTTTATGTTTTTCTATTTACTATTTATATTTTTTTGTTGTATTTATATCAACCTCCTATTCATTTTACAGAGGAATCCACAAAGAAGCATCCATTCCCTTGTCCTTGTAGCTATAGAACTGCTTTGACGCATTACTTAGACATTACAAGCAATCCGCGGACACACGTTCTCAAAGAGTTGGCTGAGTATGCAACTGATCCCGCGGATAAGGAAAAACTAAAGCTGATGGCATCAACCACTGTAGAAGGCAAGGCAGCTTATCAACAGTGGATAGTTCAACAGAATCGCAATATTGTGCATATTTTGGAAGATATACCCAGCTTGAAGCCACCGCTGGATCACCTGTGCGAAATTTTACCGCGATTACAATGTCGATATTACTCGATATCTTCATCTCCGAAGGTATTTATCGGTTTTAAAAGATTAGATATATTGACAAGATAAATTGATAAGATATATTTCTCTAATTGAAAAATATGACTAATTGGAGAATACGAAATATATTATAATTATTTATTTAAAAAGATCCTATGTTTCAGCTTTATCCGACTTCGATTCATATCACAGCAGTAGTGGTGGAATATAAAACTCCAACTGGTAGGATCAACAAAGGTGTGACGACCACTTGGTTGAAGGAGAAACATCCTTCCGATCCACCTTCTGTCGTTCCAATCTTCGTAAGGAAGTCTCAATTCCGTTTACCAACGCGCTTAAGTATCCCCATTATCATGATTGGTCCGGGAACTGGTCTAGCGCCTTTCAGAGGCTTCATACAGGAACGTGATCTTGCTAAAAAACAAGGTGAATTTTCTCTAAATACTTGGTATTTCATAACGCAACATTTTACCTTATCATATAATAGAGCTATACTAATAATACTAATATGTTAATATTTTAAACTTGATTCTAGACAAAGAGGTGGGCGAGACAATACTGTACTTTGGATGCAGAAAAAGCCAAGAAGATTATCTTTATCGTGAGGAATTGGAGCAGTATGTGAAAGATGGTACTTTAATATTGCACACCGCGTTCAGCCGTGAGCAAGAGCACAAAGTCTATGTCACTCATTTGCTCGAGAAGAACAGGGAAGAACTTTGGCGCGTTATCGGTGAACAAAACGGACATATTTATGTTTGCGGGTTAGTGCAATGCTCCTAATTTTCTATTACAGCAAAAAGAAGATGTAATGTTTTACAATATGTAAACTGTATGTGTTTCTTTTAGGGATGCTAGAAACATGGCTCGTGATGTGCACAATATATTGCTCAAGGTTGTTATGGATCGGGGCAACATGTCTGAGCTCGATGCTGCAAATTACATAAAGAAAATGGAATCGCAAAAGCGATATTCGAGTGATGTCTGGAGTTGAGCCATATTGATTATAGGATAGAATAAAAAGAAGCTTTTTTCACATACAAAGACTTTCAGATACATTCACTAAGATTGGACTCGTTAAAGTATGTAGGGATTATCGTGAATAGTGATATGATTCATTAAATAGCTACCATTCGATTTATTTTCGTTTGCCAATCTTCATCTCGCAATTTTTTTACTTCATGTTCTACCGAATAGAATAATTGTAGTTGAATTATATTTTAGACTCCCTAAATTGGCACAGTCTTTCTTAAAATTTATATAGAATTTATAGAGAAATTTAAAAATGAAAATTATAAATAACGAAGTTTTTTTGGATGTTTTAATTGTTATTATTTATTTCTATATTACATAAATTTAATTTTTCTTAAATTAATTTTAAATTTATATTTCAAAAAGTGTGTATTTTATATATATGTAATTTTTTCTTTTCTCAAGTATATATTAATCTACAATGATTATTTATTGAATCATATAATCATATAACTATTTCTATTAAATATATGAGGTTTAAACGGATTGTTTCAAATATACATTTTAATAAGATATATTTTATATTTCAAAGAAGAGATAGATGAAGCTTATCTTTACTATAAATAATTGCTAAACAATCCTTGAATTTGTATTGACAAAAAAACGAAGTGTTATTTCTAATAATATGATGTGCAAATATTAACTCATGCTAATTGTATAAATAATACTACTAAAATTTTACCTTTTTTCCGTTTATAATCAAAAATCACCTCCGGTCATATAATTTACTACAGTCTAGTTAAATATTAAGTCTCATTTACAACAAGTATAATACAGCAAAAATAATAATTTTTGTAAGATCAATATAGTAAATATATATATAAAAAGTCGTTATTACCTATTAGTTTATACAAAAACAAATACTTATTGTTAGTCTTATGGACAAATTTCATAAATATTTTATTTAATGATAATTCCCAGACAGCACACATGTCCAAAAAACATCTAAAAGACGACTTAAAAACGTCTTAAAGTCCTCTAGACATCTTTAAGACATCTTTTGGCCTTTTTGTGCTGTCTGGGTTACATTCTCTAAAATCTATTGTTTTGGTCCATATATCAATAATATATATTACTAATATACATAAGGAAATTTAATGCAAATTTAATTAAGTTTTTTATGCAAAAATCATGGATTATAAATTTATTCTAGTGTAAAGATATTATTTTTGGAAGTAAAAGAATACTCTTTACAGTAAATTTGTATGTAGACCAATTCCATTGATTGATCGCCCCGATTACATAATTGTGGTATACAATATACAAATATACAAATCATACAATATACAAATCAAAGTAAAGTTATTGCAGACTAGTAGCATGTTAGTAATATTAATTGTTTTTGCTCTTTCTATTTAGAATTAGAGGATTGACCAATCGAATTTACAGATACGATTGATATAGATATAACAAATAAAATATTAATTAAGAAAACAATTGTGAATAAATATTAAGGTATAAGCATTACTTATTTATATATTGCCTTTTAAATACATGGTATATCGAGATATATGAATATATAAAAAAATCGAGAAACCGATATCTTAACAGCAATTGTGTAATTATAAATAATTATTTTTTATATGATGCAGAATAATAAATAAAATTAAAATTATATAAACTGTTTTATATGTGAAAACAATTACCGTTATACATAATTCTAAACAATATAATTAATTGATATATTTAACAGAAATAGATTAATTAATAATTAATAATTGATTGTTAGCTAATCTAATTATTTGCCATGTTTATAAACGAATAATAAAAAAAGACAACCGCAAGTTCGTAAACGCAAGGTAATTCGTACTTAATGACGATTAAAGAAATTTAAATTTAAGTTTATTACAATAAATATTTTCAAATCAGATTTTATGATGAGTTCTTATGATTAATACATATGCGTATTGTAAGCAGTTTGTATCAAATTCTTACAAATTTAAGCTATTTTTGTGCTTTTTTATATGAATCATTTCTGACAATAATCTATAAAATAAATATAATATTCTAATATTTTGCTACATATATATAGAAAGTGTAGTTTATATTTGGCGCTATAATTCAAAAAGGTTGATCGACCAATCAGAGCAAAATTGCACCTTTAAGCGGCCTTTTCATTGACGCTAGAAAGTAGCGTCAACCATTGGTTGAACAAAGAAGTAAGTAATTGCTTCATTGTTTAACCAATGGTTGACGCTACTTTTTAGCGTCGATGAAATTGCACCTTTAAATGGAGTGCATGTAAAAATAAACAAGATTTAAAACGCGTATAAAACGATATTCAAACTAATTAAAATTAGAGTTTAAAAATGTAAATATAATATAAATAAGTATGGTCCCTGCCAAGGTAAATAGATATATAAGTATTGAAATATGTTAAAAAATTATTTAGAATTGTCATTCGAATGAAATTAAATCTTATTTATCTTAACCTAATTTTTATCTGTTACAGATATAATTTTTGACAAGTCTTATTTATAACTTTTTAAGCTTTTTAAGCTAATTTTATAATTTTTATTATAAAATTAGCTTAAAATCTCTTTGTTTTCTATTTAGTTTTGTGTAAAATAATATTTAAATTTGATTTAATTAAACTCTTTATAAACATATATTTCATTCTTCTATCACATGTATAAAATATTAAATCTTTTTTTATTTTTTTAATCATAGTTATCATACTAATTTTCTATTCTTTTTGTAGAGAAGTAATAAGTGGTGCGTGCCATCATTTGATTGTGAAATTATAAATGAGCTTCCAGTCAAACGTACTTTTGTCAAGGATTCTGTAGGAGAATTAGATAAGGTATTGCCAAATGTATCACTCACGCAGAATAATTTCAAGAGAAGAAAACATGAAACGAGCTTATCAAAATTACTTGAGGCTTGTGAACCTCAGAAACTTTCTGAATTGGCCGTTAGCAGGCAGAAACAAAATGAGATTTCCAATTGGTTTCAATATAAAGCATCAAAAAGACAACCTTCAATGTTAGTTCTTTCTGGTCCTTCTGGTTGTGGAAAAACTGTGGCTATAAAGTTACTTGCCAAAGAAAACGGATTCGACATTATTGAGTGGATTACTCCAATTGATCAAATTGAGGATGAAAATAGTAACGATTATTATTCAATACTTACTAAAGTATACTAAAGTTACAAATTATATTGTTTAAACATAATTTTTAATAATTTTTAGAACGTATAATGCGACAAGGAGACAAATTCGAGGATCATATGATTCGTGCAACACGTTACCGTACAGTACTTAGTAATTGTTCCAAGCAGTTGCTTCTTGTCAAAGATCTTCCAAATGTTTATCATGAGGATCATAAAAGTTTCTTTATGCTCATAGAGTAAGCAGTTATCTATTTTATAAATTGATTGATGTTGTTTGTATTTTTACCTTACAAATAACTTTCTCTAGAAAATATTTCCAGATAGGCAAGGAGCCTGTGATATTTATTTGCACAGAGACCGGAAATTCTAGACTGATGCAGACACTATTTGCACCTGATATAAGAGAGAAGTTTGGTATCGATCTCATCAGGTAAGTCAATCGAATAACTTTCTTTAATAAATTAAAAGGATTAAATTTCGCACAAAAATTTTAAGCATAATCGCTATTTATTTTGTGCAGTGTGAATGCAACCACACAAGCCGCGATGAAAACTATGCTGAAAAGAGTATCCGGTGTACTAAATTCCATCGCTGGCGACATGTTATATGTTTCTCAGCACATTGACGAAATATTGTCCAATAGCGTCGGGGATGTGCGCAGTGCCGTTTTGAATTTAATTTTCATTTCTCTCAAAGGTATATTATTTATATATTAATTAAACGGATGAGCCAGAGAGCTTACATTGTTTTTATGATTACTAGTGCCTGAACGACATTTGAAGAGCGAATGCGGCTTGCGAGAAGAAACTTTGGGTTTACTGCACGGCATTGGAAGAGTCACGAATCCGAAAAGTATAATTTGGTTTTATATTTCAGATTTTGGATTTTCGCGAACCGATAATTACCATTTATGATTAATTCTAGAAAAATTAGACGGCAATTCCCTCAAGTTCGTGCACGATCCTGAAGAAATAGCGGCATTTTTCCAGTCACAATCGGTGGTGTTCGTTCAATTTCTACAGGAAAATTACTTAAACACTATAAGAACTATAGAGGAAGCCACTGTAGCATCCGATATCTTGAGTTTGGCTGATGTTCTAAATTCGGAATGGCGTGTAAGTTTTGCTAAAACTGTTTTGGTTATATAAAATATTTCTTATATTCCATAATTCGGCAGGATCGCAATTTGGGCAAAGTTGCATTATCATATTGCATTCGTGGCTTGATGCTAGCAAATGAGAAGCCTGTAACTGGCTGGAATCCAGTGAGAAAACCGCGAGACGATCATATGAACATGTAAATATTAAATCAGATTAGTTATTTTTATATTTTTGTTGACTATACTTTTAATATATACACTTATTTGTAGACGACGATGTCTGGTAACAGCAGAAACGCGATGGTACGAATCAATCATTAAACCTTGTTCAAAGAAAACAAATGAAATATCGATAGAAAATAAAGACGAAGATATGGAGATAATTATTGAAGAAGATTAATAAATACATTAAATTTTATATATAAGATACTTCCTCTTTTTTTTACAAGTTTCTTTTTTATGTTTATATCTTTTTCCTTTAATTATAATTAATATAAAATATAAATTATTAGAAATTTTGTTTGTGATATCAATATTAGGTTTGCTCCTACTTATATTTATTGTACTTCCAACCAGATAAGAAATCATATACATTTAAATATATAAACTTACGAATATTAAATATATATGGGAATTTTCTCATGTTATTTTAACAGGGATTCTCTTCTTTATGTTTTTTTTACTTTCAGGAAACCAGCTGTATTAGAAAAGTACTTTGCATTTGCTTCGTTTACTTTTTTCTCTGCAGCTTGCGGATTGACGATTTCAAGACCCTATAAGTGTATACAATTATAAATAATTACATAAAGGAATAATCATTTTATATCTTCATACATATGGGTAACTAGTGAAAAATTAAATTTAAATATTAAAAAGCATACCTGCAAAGGGGTGAAAGCCACGCTGGAAGCGGTACCGGATACTTGTTTCTTAACAGTAGTGCTGCCACCCCATTGCTGTTGTTTCTGCAGATTCTTTTGCAGTGTCTTGGATATTCTAACTTTCGTCTTCTCGTCGATTTGTGGCAACCTGATTCGACCCGTTCCGGCTTTACCAATCGTTCCTCGCGAGTAACCGAGATCCTCTTGGTAAGCGTCGTTCTCGATCTGTTTGCAATAATACACACATTCCGTAATATCTATATTTCCATATTATAAGTTATGAATATTCTGAAACATATAACTTACGTCCGCAAAGTTCATTCTGTTGGCATGCTTCCTAAACTCGGTGATTGCATAGCGTTCCTTCATCTTACGGACGCGTTTACCGCCACGTTTTTTCCGACCAGGATCGATTGGTTTCGGTAACGGCTTTACGAACTTTACGGGCGGTGGTTCTTGTAGCTTATCTAATTTCTTTTCAATTTCCTCGCGCAGCATCTGACCGATGTGGCCGTCCGTACTCTCGTGACAGGCGTCCACTCTAGCCGCTAGCATGCTTTTAGCTGCCACGAGCCTCGCTGCTTTCCTCCGTAAATCCTGCAATATCGTCAGATATGTGATTGTGATATTTCATATTATCTTTTGTATTTTTCCCTTTACACTTACGGGAGGCGTTTCTTGTACGATATCGGAGTAATATATGAATCCCGTGTGAGGCAAAGTAGCGACTTGCGAAAATCCAGAGAGTGTAGTCTTTTGAGATCCTAGGACTAGAACGTTACAAGCTGGCATCTTGGATAGTTTTGTCAAACCACCTGCGACGCCTAAATCACAAAAATTTGTTACAATATAAATTCATTAATTTTATTTTATATATATATTTATGCAATTTTATATAAAATATACCCATAATTTTGGCGGCTGTTGATGCACCAACAATTATTGATAAGTTTGGTGCAATAAATGCCATTCTGCTTTCTACATATTCAAATATTTTTAATTTACAATTATTCAATTCCACTGCCATGTCGCAAGCTTCACAAATGGCTTTTTTCTCTTCTTCTGTTAATAATTGGCTGTATGTGATAACATATTTGAATTAAAATGAATAATTATAATTATAATTATATATTTATAATACATTAAAAATGAATAATTATATATAATAACTCTCTATTTTCAAATTAATTAAAGTTTACTAAAATTTTCTCATATTGCTTTTTTATTATTTCATTATTTGCTATATAAAGATAAAATGATTAATAAAATTATAAAAATAATTAATGATTATGTAACTATGCAATATTCTCTGTGAATATGCTTAAATATAAACAAGATATTTATAATAGAAAGTTTGTTTAATCCATAAACAGGATATTTATAATAAAAAGTTTATTCAGTCCCAATAATTTAAAATTAGAAAGGTTTGATCATGCACAGTAGAATATTACCCTTGAGTAGTTGATGCTGTCACAGAAACAACCATAATTGTGGCTTGAGTAAGAAACTGTTGCAGAATTTCATTATTTTTGGCTCTGTCCAAGTCATTTCCCAATTCTCTGACAGTCATTACATATTCCAATTGTCCAACTACCAAGGATTCCAACTCTGGGAATCTTTTCGAATACTTATCTCTTGTAAATCTATGTATAGTAGCTGAAATATATAAAAATTATACATCAATATAACAATATATATACTTTACAAATTAAAGATTTTATGCAACTGTACGGTCACCTATTTCATTGTCGATATCTACAGCCATATTATTAGCTTCAACTATCAGTTGATATTCCGGATCAGATTCTACAGGTCCTACAATATCGGCTGATTTTCTGGGTACTTTGCTGTGCTTTTCAATCTGTGACATGACCTTTTGTAGCTGTTCAGAATCTCGTAATTTGGCTAACTCTCTAACAGAGGATACTTTTATTTCTATGCGAGAAAACAAATTATTTATGTTATAACAATGTGCTGACATCAAAATGAAGAATGTAATATAAAAATTACATTCTTAGGTAACATTAATAACATAATATTGTATAAAATGGAAAAAAAATTAAACAAGAAAATTATTGCCAAATATCATGTATAAAGAATAACCTTCTTCTAGAACTTTGGAAACCGAAGCTGGAATGAACTTCGGCTCCGGTTCTTCCATGAAAGTATCCGCGTCGTCATTTTCCTCGAGGTCTGCAAGAAGTTCATCCGCCAGAGACATTTTTCCTCGTTACAAGTTATTTCTTTATTGCGAGATTTGGTTGCCACAAAAAAAACATCAAAACACCGCCTTCGTTATATCAAAGAGAAGACAGAGATGTCATGGCATGCTTTTAGGTGATCCCTGAAAGCGATACTCCCTTTATGGACATTGAAAACGACATGAACTACAAAGCCAATGTCCATGAATGTTCTCAGAGGGTAATATATAATGTGTACAATTTCTGGTTTTGTTCCGTGCTATATGGCCGGTATTCATAGTCCAATATTATATTTAAGATCGTCTTAAATCTGCTTGGAGGTTGACTTAAGACCTCATTCAATCAATCAAATAGCTACGTAGCATTTCAAGCTCGAACTTAAGACGATCTCAAATATAAGATCGGACTATGAATACCGGCCTTTGATCTATAAATTGTAAATGTAGCATGGACATGAACCAACCGACTGTTTTATCATGGCATCGAAAATGTCCATGTAGTTCCAGGGGCATAAATGGATGTGCGGCGCTAGTGTCCGATGTAGCAAAGGGATTCCACGAAAAGCGCAGCGTGGTCCCTCTCAGGCTTCCCTCTGATTCTGATCTCGGTCATGGTTCGTGGACAGGAGGACAGGATCGATAAGTGCTCGCGAAGGATCGTGTAAAGTAGAAGCATTATGATTGACAAAAATGCACGACAGTAATATGATTATTTCATTAAATGATTCGAGTCGAATTCGACATGAATATCAGAAATCAGAGATGCAGTATGATCAGTAAGTTTTCGCTCTGCCTGCGGAAAATACGCAGGCTATAACTTTGCACAGAGGACTTGTCAGACTGATCGGATCCTGTTGATGGAGAAAATCTTTCAGAAAGCATGAAATGCGAAGGAACAGCTTCAAGAAAAACACGTAAGTTTGTCACTTTATATAATCTGGAAAATGTATTGCAATAAATATTGATATGATATGTTTGTCTTGTAGAATTAGTCCATTGACGCAAAAAGTAAAGGCTCCCCAACATCTGCTGAGACTTAAGGATGAAGAAGATGAGTTCGATAATGAATGCAACAGTCGCTTCCGGTTACCTAGTCTGTCACGGCAGAAATCATGGAAGGACGATGATGATATTCCATCTAATGGAAATAGCGCGGCAACATCTGTCTCTTGGTCACAGGAGATGGAAGATACAGCGACTCAAAAATTGGAAGAACAGTGGACGAATGTGGAGAGGACCTTTTATGAGGAAGAAGATGACCAGTTGCTTCAAGGATCCATTTTGGATGAATGTATACAATGGAGAACACAGATACCATATCTGAGAATAATTGGCAAAAATCCAACTTACACCAATAACAATAGTACACAGCATGATATTGGCTCTAATGATGAGAAGATGAAAAGATTTGATACTCTACAAAATGACAAAGTATCTTTGGAGCTTTCAACGAAGGTAAGGATAGAAATATAATATTTTTTTCAAACATGCAAGAAATACGTATTACATTTTTACATTACTATTGTATTTTTATGTTATTTATAGGAAGGAGAAGATTCTACGCAATATAAATTAAATAAAGCAAAATTTGAAGATGTTGTTGACATGCTAATGGAATATGTAATCATGGAGGTCACTCCTAACAAGGAGAATGATACAGATTCTCTGTGCGAAAGTTTAAGCGATGCCTTAAAAATAGCTCCTGCTCCTGTTTATGGCAATAGAAATTCATCAAGAAATTCAAAAATAAATTGGACAGAAGAAGCAATTTCTCCTAATTATATCGAAAACAAATCTCTAAGCATACGAAATCGATTGTTGGATACAGAAAATTCTCTTCAGACAATAAAGAATGATACAAATTATCAAAAAGTTCAAAAGTGAGATTTGTAAAACAAAATATTAAATATAAGAACGCTTTCTTTTATTTAATATATATAATTTGATTTTTAGGAAACAGAGAAAATCAATTTCTGCAAATAAATCAAGAGACCTTGATAATATGGAAGATGATAATACATTGAAATCCAAGGAGAGATTGAGTACGCCACATATAGGCAGAAATAAACTTGGCACTATCTTCAATGAGAGGATTGTTGTGAGCCCTGTGCCTTTTGCAGTATCCACGCGAGAAAGCTTCTCTACTTTAAATACTATTCCCATTAGATTCATGAATGAAGATTTCGAAATTTCCTCCTTTCAAGGTAGAAAATATCAAGCTATTTCAGGTTTAAAACATTAGTATTAATATAAGAATTATAAATATTTTAGGATCAGCCCGAAACATTTCAGGTGGTTTTCGTGGCTCTACAAAAAAATCAAGCATTCTAAGAAATTCAAATATTCATTCCGCTTGGCAAGCTCCTGTGTGTCCCACCATTTGGCCGAAAAATATCCGACTTGCGCCTATAGACACTTCGAGATTTCCTAGTAACAAAAATAGGTATGTTGATAATTTATTAAAAAAAAAAACATTTTTTTTTTATAGAGATTTTTTTAAGATAATTTTAAGTTTCGTTTACCAAAATTTAAGAGCATATATTTTCACACTTTTTAGATTGGCACCATCCCCTGCTATTTCACACTGCAACAAGAAACCATTGAGTCCAATTTCCAAAATACCGAAATCAGCTCAAGCGACTCGCGATCGTTTGGAAATTCAAGGAAAACACATCTTCCCTTCGCAATCAAAAGTCAATATGCTTTCAGCTGGATGGGATAGTTCCAGAATGATTAAGAGCAAAAAAAAGAAAATTCGTGTAATGGAGGGTTTGTAAAGGAAAAGAAAAAATGCTTATAATGCCGAAAGCGCTTCGAACACTTGCTTTTATAAGAAATATATTTTTCTAAAATGTGTTATATGATGTCTTATTCTGTGTCTGTAAGGAAACCGAAGAGTACAAAACATGCTGCTTCGACGCGTTCGGTTTCATAACAGAATAACGCTTGGAGCACGGCAGAAAATGCTTTAACAACGAAATATATATAATATATATAAATATATTTATTGTCGTATATAATTTACGGAGGATAATCATTGCAATTGTACAAACATGCGATGGTGTTTTAAATATGATTGTTCTATGAATGATAAATCATAACTGTTTCTACCTCACTATGTGTCTATGTTGTTCAAATATTATTATTCTACACGTTTAACGCGAGTGGATATATTTTTGTATATGCCGCACAATATTATGTATTATTGTTTGTAAATATACTGGAAGTAATATAAATACATAACAGCATTGTTGTGAGAATACAACATCGCGTTATTATCCCGTTATAGTATACCCAAAATTTGATTTTATGAAAAAAATATAAAAAGCTGTATGATTTATTTCATATACACATTATTAAAGATATAAAAACTATTAATTTTTTCGTTTTGATGCATAACGTTGAAGTTACGTAATAGTTTGCAAAAGTTATATAAATATATATTGCATAAAAAAAATATAAAAATGGAGCTCAACTTTTTTTGCTGTTATGTGCGCAAGCTATTTTTGTGCGTACGTGCATATATATATATATATATATATGTATACACACACACACATATGTGTATTTATATAGGGGATGAAATAGTAAAAATAACATGGAAAGGCGGAAAATGCGTAAATCTTTATTAAATTGATATGTTGTGTATTAATAACAATATTATCTATTCTCTCGAGGAACACGTGGCAAAGGAACTGACAGAAATTCAAGAGAGTGACATTTGCGCATGTTCGATGTTTTGGCGCCGCGGCGACATTTCCCGCGACGTGCTTGCAGTTTCGCGTGAGCTTGCAATGGTGGAGGACGCTTTGACGACCGGTGACAATTTCGGTGAGTTGAAATGGAAATAAAAATCAGATGTGATATAAAAGTAGCGCAATACCACGACAAATTTTCCAATCTAAACGAATATTGCGAAAGCGCAGCGAGAAAGTTCATTCTTTGTATGGAAAGAGTGATGATAATATTATATACACTTATTATAGAATAAAAAGATTTACTGTCCCTTCAAATAGAAAACTTTTAAATCAATTTTTCTTTATGATCTCTTTTGAGTATAAATGCATATTCTATATTTTTTATACACATGATTATATAATATATAATCGTAATAGGGAATATTCAAGATATTAATAACTTCTCTTGTATAAAGATTTTTTCCGATGCACGTTCGCAAAGTTGTATGTAAAGGTTAAAAGACATTGTTAAAATAATTACAAGTGATTATACATGTTTTTACAGAGAATCTTTGTTGAAAGGCGTATCAACGTGCAGATTTATCGCATCTCATGATAATTCAAACTAAGGATCTCGCTAAGGACACCGACGGTGATATGTCTACCTACGAAAGGTCGAGCGACACGCATCATCTAACGACGATGACAAGGATCGTCGGGGTGTGCACTGCTGTTGGTGAGTCGATAATTTATGTTATCAAATTATCATATCATCGCGGGAGAAAAATATATTATTAAATTATGTAGAACACACAGAGGATTGAAGAAAAATTTTAGTCAGAAAGAAGAGAAAGAAAGCCAATGGCGAGGAGAGATGACGATATAGTAATGTTATAAGAATATAAAAAAAAAGATTTTATTTTCTTTCATTTCTGTCAGGAATTTTATCTCGAAGACCGCGGCGGGATAGAAATGATCCTTCTGTTTTTACTTCGAACGAGGAGGGGATGAAGCGCGAGAAACACTCCGCTTTTCATTACCGCATGAAAGGTAATGAAAACAGCTTACCCCTATCTATCTGCAAGACTCTTTACATCTGCTTAATATTAATGGATCATTATAATGCAACAGAAGGCAGTAGCTTGATTCTTTGAACGACATCCCTCGCAGTTTGGTTATTGATGTTTAAATAACCATCATCATTGATGGCACTCGAATTATTTCTCTTATGTTGGAACTGCAAAAATTTTAGTGCGCGTGGCAGCTTTTTTTTTCAAACAGTATTTTAAGTATATACTTTCATATAGTATTATATATACTGTCTCTTTAAAAGTTTATTTTAAATTATTACTTTTTTCGACAAATTCGTCTAAAATAATAAGACAAAAAAGAAATATATAACTATATTTAAATAATATTAATAATTAAATATATAATATTAATAACAATATTAATATATTTAATAATAATATTAATGAAATATTAATATTAACGAATATATTTATAATATTAATAATTATATATTGTATATATATTGCTTGTTAATTTAAAAAATCTAAGATTTTCATAAATAACTGTTCTACAAAAATTCGCATTTTACAAAAAAATGCTACATTATTTTTTATATAAAAAAATGTTTAAATTCAAAGAATCTATAACAGTCATATATATGTATTAAATTAACATATGTGAAATATTTCAAAAGATTAAATTTAAATAAATCAATACATCTAATAAAAAATAAATATATAATAATTAAATAAAATAACACTCTAAAGAGAAAGAGAGAGAGAGAGAGAGAGAGAGAGAGAGAGAGAGAGAGAGAGAGAGAGAGAGAGAGAGAGAGTGCATCTAATGGATTCTCACGCTTATAATCGTCGCGCTGTCAAGTTTATCTAACGATGACACGTATTTTCTTTGCTTCTGATGTCATCCTATTCTTCTCCCACGCCATGACAAACAATAACGAAAAATACCCTCGGCAGATCCGATAGAGTTCCCGATGGGATCCATTATCCCCGAATGAATGGCGGTAGTTCTTTTTTCTCTTTTTTTTTTGCGAGAGCGTCGCGTCGACGTTATCGAAACGGGTGGATGTCGCGACGTTGTTGCTGACTCATCCGAAATGGTTACGGGATTAATTGCCCGCGACAATCGCGCTTTGGTCGCTCCTTAATTGATAACACTCGGTGCGCTCTCCGCTCCGTTTGCAATTAGTCCGCGCGATCGGTCGAACGAGGAATCGGCGGATCGCGTCCGGGCCACGGCGATATCTCGATCTTGTAACAGTCCATTGACGTTTAATCAACGTGCGCAGTTTCCAGTGCCAAATGGCCGCGAGGGTTAGCGAATCGTTACCGGAATTCCGCAGCGCGGCTGCAAAATATACATATACAGAGGGTGTATCTCATGTTTTTATTTCATGTTTTTCTGTTTTTCTTTTTTTCTTTTTTTTTTTTTTTTTTGAGAGAGATAGTTGACGAATTTTCCTACCAATTCGTTCCCTTTTTCGCGATACCTCTGTGATCGCATTGTAAATATTGTGTTGCGCGAGCATAACTCTGTCTCGCAGTTTGACGATTTGTTATCCATCCAACAAAAGTCGGTGACTTGGTTGAAAGCATAGAGCTCGGAGTTTTTAATTGGTCCACGCGAGGATGAAACGAAATATTTTACTGCAAACAATGTCGCAAACAAAAACGAATGGCATAACAAAGCGCGAGAACTATTCTAGACACGTAGGAATCGTGTTCGCGCGAATTAACGTAACGAGATATAATATTCTCCTGTGACAAATTCACCGCTCGATGGAATTGCGTATCTTTTTTTTTTTTACATTGCGTAATAATGACGCACGCGCGACTTGTTTCCCGACGTTTTATCGATTGTCAGTTTAAATTTTGTTGACGATTCGCGGTGCAGTAGTTAACAATTGCACGCGCGACCAGTAATTTATAAATAATATTATAACATCGGGGAGAGAGAGGAAGAGGGAGAGGACGAGGAGACAAATTTACCGGTCATTACGTTTGGTCGACCGCGTAATAATCCGTGGGCCATCGACGCTCTTCGTTGGAAAATGGAAATATCGATGAAATAAATAAAGAGCGGCGCATGTGAGGTGCGAAATGGGCAATGCAGCTGCAGTTGCAGCTATGCGACCGCAAGCAGCATAAAACTGCTGACGGCTTCAAACAAACCGACCGTTATTTATGCCGTCTGCACGCGCTCGCCGAGGCTCGCCCGCATTTGTAATACCAACTTTTTCGCTTAATCCGGAAGAGAGAAACACAAAAAAAAAAGGAATACCGCTGCTGATAACGACGCGTTAGTCCGAAAGCGCGAATTGACGCGTAAATCTTTTACAGAGATGTATCACTCTTTCATCGCGCGCTGAGCATTAGGGTCGAGAAAAAACTCACATCGTTAGTCTGTCAAGGAATTCAAAATTGAAAAGGAATCTCAAAAGGAAGATCTGAAAGATAGAATTTTATATGTGCCTCTCCCTTTCTCCCTCTCTATAAATGTATATTTTAGATAGGATCTTCTTTTGAATCATACGCGAATAAAATTACCAAAGGCAATTTCGATCAATTAAAAAATTTACAGAATTCTCAAAATAGTTGGTTTGTCAAGGAATTCAAAATTGGAAAGGAATCTGAAAAGGAAGATCTGAAAGATAGAATTTTATATGTGCCTCTCCCTTTCTCCCTCTCTATAAATGTATATTTTAGATGGGATCTTCTTTTGAATCATACGCGAATAAAATTACCAAAGGCAATTTCGATCAATTAAAAAATTTACAGAATTCCCAAAATAGAGTGGTACACGCAAAGATATAAATATCGGACTATTTACGTACGGCTAGGTATCGGCATTTCGTTATCTTGACCGGGCGACAGTGCGGAAAAGCCGCAGTCAGTTGAGGTTTTTCGTTCCCGGCGTTTTTCCGCGCCCTTGTAACTGGAAAACAAGCCCCCGGGCCTGTTCTCCCTCATCCCCCTGTTCCTCGCTTCCTTGCACTTGCACCCTCGTTTTAGACCGTGTTGTCGATAAAATACCGTTGATTTACTGTCGCGGTATGTCGAAGACTTATCACAAAATTGCGCGGATAGTGAGAAAAGAAACGTCGATACGCGGAAATATCTCTCAATATATATATATATATATATATATATATATATATATATATATATATATAAACACCGTTATTATATTGTAGATCATAAAATTGACTCGTCTGAAAAATCTCCGAAGTAACCCTTCGCTTTCGCGCAGAATCTTCCTAAAGCACATATTAATTAAGACGCGGATAAATTTTCTCTTGGGCAAAAAAGGCGATCGATTCAATGGAATTTATAGAATTTCGAAAACAGTACGAAGATATAAATATAAAAAGCAAGATAAGCTTTGTTGGTGATCAGAATTTTCGTGAAATCGATCGCGTAATTTCTGCTTTTAGTTCTCGTGAAGATATATTATGTGCTTGATGTAGATAGCATCGTAAACTTTTAGAGCGATGCTCCGGAGAATCATGTGACATATCACGTCTACCTAAATCGTCGTTGTCGAAGATAGAAATCGCGATAGAGTCGAATATAGCGGTTCGCGACTTTGGGCGAATGAGGAGAAACGCATTCTGTCAGCGTCGTTGGCGATTCCCGTTCAACTCGACCCAAGGGGGCTGAACTTTCGATTGCCGTAACTCGGTAACGAGGATAAACTGGATATTTTGAGCACGTGAAGCTCCACGAACAGCTTACGAACTTTGCGCGCGTCCCTGTTAGATACTCGCACATATCGCTCGAGTATCGTCGGCGGAGTTTCTCAGCGGGAGTTATTGCGATCCCATTCTTCTCATCGTTACCGAAAGAAGAATTTTCCGCACAAAGTCGTTTTTCACTTTAGAAAAATTTTTTTGGAATTGGACCCATTTTTTTAGGTCTAAATTACGCGGTCATGTACTCTCTCCAGATGTGAAGTTTCAAGATTAATGAGACGCGAAAAGAAAGAGACCGAAAAAGGAAGAAAAATATTCGCTAACTGGGGCAAGGGTTGCTTCTCTGTCTGCAACTCGACGACCTCGATTAGATGAGCCCCGCGCGATTTCGCATTCGTGTATTTTAATTAGTTTTGGGAGTCTGCGGGCATCGTGTCGAAATCGTTGCCGCAGCATCCTGAAATTATAAACTGCAATCGGATTAGCCCCGACATTCTACTGACTTGTTTACAATATAAACATCGCACCCTTCTCTTTCGCGTTTACGACACGTTGTTCATACATGACGATAGTTGATATGATTTATAATTTTATACATATATACTCTTGGACAAAATTAACGCGTAATTTTTTTCACTTTTTCTTTAAAATTTTTTGTTAAAATTTAAATATCAGCTTTTCCAGGAGTATATATATATATTGATAATATCTTTAAAATATAATATGTTGAATTATTAAAAAATGTTTCATAATGATATGCATATTTATGGAGACATTTAGTGAATATTATTTTGTGAATACTGTGAAATAAATAATTATACTCCATATTCGTCGACTTGTGTGTGTGTCGAAAATGTTTTTAAAATTTCCATCTCGCGTCTCGCAAACTAACGCTTATCGGTGGATATAATTATAAATAAAACAATAAATGAGGATATGTATTTCAAGAATGACACAAATTTAAAATACGTATTTTAAGTGCGATTAATTTTAATTGAATTGCGACGAGACATATAAACTTGTCGAATATAGACAAATGCGGATTTCGGATTTGGATTTGGAAAAGGGGGCTTGTAAGCGTAGAAGGACGGAAACGTAAAATTAGGCAATTAGGCAATCGACGATAATTTATAGCCCCGCGTGCGTATCGTGCCAGTGCACTTGCCATTCGTATCGAGGCGTAAATCACCGCTAATTTGTGCACGAACCGCGATTATCCGCCATCGAGAATCAGTCCCGATACAAATTGCATCTTTCATTGTTGATCATTGGAATGCATTTCCCCATTATGCATTGGCGATGCATGCATTCGCTCTTAAAAAAAAAATGA